TTCAGGATTTAGGGTTTAGGGTTCGTGTTTAGGGTTTGGGGTTCAGGGTTTGGGTTTCAGGTTTAGGGTTTAGGGTTCAGGGTCTCGGCTTCAGGGTTTAGGGTTTAGGGTTTTGGCTTCAGGATTTAGGGTTTAGGGTTCGTGTTTAGGGTTTGGGGTTCAGGGTTTGGGGTTTAGGTTTAGGGTTTAGGGTTCAGGGGGTTTAGGGCTTAGGGCTTGAAACCTAGGGGCCTGAGTCGTGGTCCGTGGGGGCTTCCCTGAATGTTGAGCACCAAGATTCCTGGGGTCCCCGAGACCCGAACACCCCAAGTCCTGAAGCCCAAGCCCTAAACCCTGAACCCTAAACTCCTAAAGCCTGAACCCTAAATCCCTAAACCCTAAGCACTAAACCCTGAACCCTAAATCCCTAAACCCTAAACCCTAAACCCTGAACCCTGAACCCTAAATCCCAAAGCTCTAAATCCCTAAACGCTAAAGCCTAAATCCCTAAACCCCTGAACCCTAAACGCTAAAGCCTAAATCCCTGAATCCCTAAACCCCTGAACCCTAAACGCTAAAGCCTAAATCCCTGAATCCCTAAACCCCTCAACCCTAAACCGCAAAGCGAGGTCCGGGGCCGAACATCGAAAATTGCTGAGCCCGGGGCCTTGGAATTCGGGAACTGCGTCTCGATGACCTGTCAGCCGGAACACGGCCGTTTTGGGGTGTAGGGTTTAGGGTTTAGGGTGCAGGGTTTAGGGGTTTGGATTTAGGGTGTAGGGTTTAGGGTTTAGGGTGCAGGGTTTCGGGTTTAGCATTTAGGGTTTAGGGTTTAGGGTTTAGGATTCACGGTTTAGGGCTGAGGGTTTAAGATCATGCGATATTATGCTGGCGTGGGGAGGGTTGCGGGGTGGTACAAAGTTTAGGGCTTTCTAAACCCGAAACCCTAACCTCTATACCCTAAACCCTAAACTCCTAAAGCCTAAACCGACAACCCTAGGCCCTCAAAACACCTACTCCTCCCCCGGAGCCTGCAGCCCTCTGATCACGCTGGGCTTCCCAAGGCTTTTCGGGATTTTGGGGCTTGAGGATCACGGCGCGTTCGCTGGGTCCCCAAACCCTGTTGAAGAAGGTTGCGGGTTGAGGCTGAATGAACGCCTCAAGACGAGACACCTCATGCTGGATGTAAGGCTTTTGCGGTTTAGGGCGTCTAGGGTGTAGGATTTAGGGTAAGGATGGAAGTAAGATCCGGGCTTTAGGCATTGTATCAGGCTTTCGGTCAGATCATGAGACGCATAAAGCTCCAGGTGTCCTACTTACCCAAACACTTACCACAACCTACTTTCTCCCTAAACCCAAACCCTAAACCCTAAACCCTAAACCCTAAACCCTAATCTTAGTACCAACAAAAGTTCAAAGGCTGCATCGAAGGCCAGATCCCAATGCCCTCTTGCAAGTAAGGATCCGGAGCCGCGTCTCGTTACTCGTTTTAAACCTCGAAAAACACAGCGGAAATACAACCAAACTACGATGTCCCGGCCCTGAACTTGGAAAACCCTCCACTATAAATCCCTTCTACAACCCTGAAGCCCTAAACTCCCATGACACTAGAAGGCCAACCCGAACACACCTAGAACCTGAACCTTCAACTCCCAAAACCCTAAACCCTAAACCCTAAACTCCCTAAACCCTAAACCCTAAACTTCCAAAGCCCTAGGACCCTAAACCCTCAACTCCCAAAACCCTAAACCCCAAACCGTAAACTCCCAAAACCCAAAACCCTAAACCCTAAACTCCCTAAACCCTAAACCCTAAACTTCCAAAATCCTAGAACCCCAAACCGTAAACTCCCAAAACCCAAAACCTTTAACCCTAAACTCCCAAAGCCCTAGGACCCCAAACCCTAAACTCCCAAAATCCTAGAACCCCAAGTCCCGAGACCATACATCCCGGAAGCTGCCGACCTGGGTAGTTGTCAAAATTAGGGTCCCTTTTGGGGGTACCCTAAATAATAGGTGCCGTATTATAATAAGGACCCAAAAAGGGACCATAAACCCTAAACCCTAAACCCTAAACCCTAAACCCTAAACCCTAATTTTGACAACCACCCACCTGTTTGTAGCTCTTCGTCTGCTGAAGGTGGGTCCTGCGTTTGAGGCTCCGCTTTTTTTAAGGGTGTA